CCACTGACAGCCTTTTAACCATCCCTGGAAATGCATTCTAGGGGCGGTTTCAGTAGAAGATTCGCCTCTAAAATGTATTTTTAGAATCACGGGCGGTTACAATAGGCACACCACGCCTCACGCCCGGCACCGACTCTCCTCCACAACCTCTATAAAAACATTTCAGTGGCGGCCTGCTTTGCCGACGTCCGCTGCCCTGCCTTGGACCACCGGCACCGCTGCCTTGGACTCCCTCTCGACCCTGTCTTCAAACAGCGACGGCGTGTGGGCTTCCCTTTCTCCTTCTCACACTAGACTTGAGGTAGTGGAGGGGACTTCCATATTTAAGTATGGCTATCACTACTTCCATAAGCAAGGTGGGACAAAAAAGTTTCCACATCCCCTCTTGCACATATAAATGGGCCTTTGCGATTTCTTAGGAATTTCATAAATTTCTTATTGGGCCAAGCCCATAATCATAAATTCCAACAATGGCCTCCTTAGCAAGATCGATCGTGGTGTCGATCATATTGTTATTCAGGCAATTAAATAAAGAGCTTAATTATCGACACGGGCCACACCCTTCGCTCATAGTATCTTCTATATATCAAAATCCATGGCAAACGAAAAATATGAAGTTTGGATGCATGATTCATTATTCCATATAAGCATCCACGTATAGTCTATGTAAATATGTGCACTGCTAGCTATATTATATACACTACTCCCTCCGTTACAATTACGAGTCATTCTAATTTTTCCAGGGAGTCAAAGCATCTTAAATTTGACAAAAAAATATAGAGAAAATTACAAAGATTTATAATATTAAATAGGTATTCTACGAAAATAAAATTAATTTGGGATACTTAGTTATTATATAAATTAAGTAGAACTGAAGAAGTAGGTTGTGTGCTAATGCACGGTCCAAATGGCTATTTATAGATGGAAGAGTAAGTCGATGCATGTTATGTATGTCCATGCATTTATGTATGTCCAAATGGCATGTTTGTTTTGGGATATAGTATTAGCCGTACCTTTATTTGGCTGGAGTTATTATAATACTGTTGGGCAGCTTTACTACTGGCAGCTTTATTTGGTTTTCTATGGTACGTACTTTTCGGACATCATGCGATGCAACTGGTCAACTGGCCCACTGCCGAATAGAAATGATTCTGCTTCTGCGCGCAACTCGATTAAGGCCATGTTCGTTTGTTATGATATGTACTTTTCAGCTCGTTGTTTTAGCTACAATAGTGTTTTCTCTTAAATCAAATCAGCAAGAATAGTATTTTAGTTTATTTTTTCAGTGAAGTGAACGGGGTCTAAGGGGGCGTGTTGGTTCTCTGGACCAAATTTTAGTCCATGTCGTATCAGATGTTTGAACACTAATTTGGAGTATTAAATATAGACTAATTACAAAACTAACTACACAGATTGAGACTAATTTACGAGACGAATCTATTAAGCCTAATTAGTTCATGATTTGACAACGTGATGCTAGTAAATATGTGTTAATGATGAATTAATTAGGCTTAATAGAATTATCTCGTTAATTTGTCTACTCCTATGTAATTAGTTTTTTAATTAGCTCATGTTTAGTCCTCTTAGTTAACATCCGAACGCTCAATATGGCACGGACTAAATTTTAGTCTCTGAATTCAAACACCGCCTAAGTTAGGCCAATAAATCTGTCCTCATTCACCAACCATGAGAGAGGATTGAGTAAAGTAACTAGCATACATGGAATAATACTAGCTAGCATAGGTACAAACGTGCAACATGCCAACAGACAGTTCATGTAATTTGCAGAAATTGCCATCCCAACATATTTTTTTGAGCAATAATTGACATCCCAACATTGGGAGGAAGTATAGTACTTCCCTTGAAAATTGACATCCCAACTGACATTTATGTGTTTTCAAACAGATATAGTATTACTAACATAACGACAAATGAGAACCAAGAGCATCTCTAAGAGATTAGCTAAACATAGATGTTAAATCCATGATTTAGCAACTTTGTAAAATAGAAGTCCCTCTAAAAAACTAGAGTTCTCCAACTACCTTCGTATATTTTGCCTTCTCCAAAATCAAAACTGCGGTCGCTGGCCAGGCTACTTGAGCTATATATACTGTACACTATATATGTATAGATTAATTTTAGCACCAAACACTAGAAGACTATATACGACGTGCAGAGCATTGAATGCAGACTTGTTCTTCCTGGTGAAAGCTATCCTTGTTGACGTTATGGCCACGAGTCCTCGACCTAATAAGGGTCTAGGCCTCATGCAAGCAATGACTAATGCCACCGTGGACAAGCCACGTCGGATTTAAACCTGTTCCCAGCCGGTATGAATCCACAGTGCACTACATAAATGGATTAGGGGTCAAAACTGCACTTTGAAAGACAGTGAACCTAGATGACACATAGGCAAAAGTTTATGGTGCATTTTGCTCTTTTTTATACCATGGACGAGTCTGTGGCCCGTGTGGATAAGGGCCTGTTTAGATTTCAAAAAATTTTGCGCATTACACATCACATCGAATCTTGCGGCACATGCATGGAGTACTAAATGTAGACAAAAAAAACTAATTGCACAATTGGGTGAGAAATCGCGAGACGAAACTTTCGAACCTAATTAGTCTATAATTAGACACTAATTACCAAATACAAACAAACGAGCTACAGTACCCAAAACCAAAAAATTTTGGCATCTAAACGTGGCCTAATTAAGCTCTTTATTAATTTGCTAGGCATCTTTCGTGGACCTTAAGATCTAGATCTAACAGTACCGTCGTCGTCGTCTTCTTTCTACATGAATCGACCATCAGCTCTTCTTTCCCGTTTGCATTGTCTTATGGTACTCGATGGCTCTTACACTGCTGTGTCTGCCACCCTACAACCCTAGCTAGCTGGTGACCTACGAAAGCAGCAGAGGGATCAGCGCATCCGACTAATCAGTAGTGCGCAGGAGATCAAGCAGCCAAATAGTCAAGAAGATAGCCACGGAGTCATCCTCACGAGTCCATGAGAAGCAGTGTCCAAGACGGGCGACCACACTAGCAGAATTAGAAGTACTCTATAAGCTTGGGTCATGATTCATGAAGACAATTAACTCGAAGCTTTATGAGACCCGAGAAAAAAAAAACTCTGAGTATTTTGAGACTCCAGAAAAAAAAAAGACCACGACGTCTAGTAGTTACATAGTTGTCAACCAGCAGGAGGAGGATCACCCCACAGGCGCTTTCTTGTGTCCCGGCTTATAAGCAGGGAGAGAGGTGCTGGTGATGAAGTGGATGGGATTGTTCAACGGACCAAGAACGTCTACAACAGCATCTTCGTCGATCACTGCAACCCTTCACATGCTGAGACAATGCGACAGCTCTTCCCAGACCCACAAGAAGAACGGACGAGACGCCGCACAAGTCAGCGCGTCTGATCGCCGATGTTGGCTAAGTAGCATGATTAGCGAGTAATTGCCTATGATCTCCTTTTGCTACGGAGGGCAAAGCCAATTGCAGAACACTAACAACCTGGTGTGTCATTTTTTAGCACATTGTTGTAATTTTCACTATTTCGTGATCTTAGTAGAAAGATGCGTAAACCTTTTTGCATATTCTAGAAAAAAACGCAGTCGACACCAAGCCATAGAGCATGCACACCTGAGACTTGTATTCATTATCAAAGATGCTTTTTTTTATTTTGTATTTATTTTTTTATAGCATACCCGCATCAACAATCAGTCTGTTCGCTTGTTGGTTTCAGCCAGCTCAAATCAGCCAGTTAATAGTGTTTTTCTCTCACAAAAAACCAGCACCAGCCAGCCCAAACCAGTATCAGCACCAACCAGCGAACAGGCCCAATAAGACATAGAGCACGCACATCCAAAATTTGTATTCATTATTATTACAAGAATCTGTCTAACCAACAGCTTGTTGATTTAGCCCCATCTAACAATCAGATTTTTGTTCATTCACTTACACTGCTTTATAGATATATTTACACTGTTTTATTACTATATTTACAATAGTATCTTCAGTGTAATTTATTAGACAGAGTAATGTAATTTAGTTATTTCTATGAATTGCAACTCTCAGAAACATATATGCCAAAATTTTCAGAAAAATTTACAAATTTTTCTTTGGACTGCAAATATCAGAAAAATATATGTCAAATTGTTCACAAATTCTTCGCAAATGTCAAATTGCTCACAAATTCTTCAAAAATGTCAAATCGCTCGGTGGCCGGCCACGGGGAAGAGGCCGCCGGAGCCGGGGGCAGGGGCAGCGCCGGAGCCCGCACCGTCCGGATGAGGCATGTCCCGCGCGGTGGAGGGAGCAGTGGCCGGCCCTGAGGTCGGTGGCGAGGGTGCAGCAGCCGGCCTAGGGCGGCGGCGGAGGGAGCATCGGCCAGCCTGGGGCGCGCGGTGGAGGGAGCAGGCCTGGGGCGTACGGCGGAGGGAGCAGGGCGGCCGGCCTGGGGGCACGGCGGAGGGAAACCTGGGTCGCGCGGTGGCAGGAAAATCGCGTGTGGGAGGGAGGCAGACCGATTGTTGTGTACCAATTCTGTATTATAATTAATATAGATATATACTTTGCTCCTTATTTTTTATTTTTATGTATTTAATATGCTGTCCAAACACATTGCAAGACACCAACCTTGTTCGCATCAATGTGAAGCTACTGATGAGATAGTGAGACAAAAAGATCACTGTAATCTCTCGTTCACTTCTCTATCTGCCGTTCACTTCACACGAAGTATATATAGATATATTGCCATTATGTTAGCACAAACCGAAAGGGGAACGCACAGTTTGCGCTGCGACGCATGGACCTCTCGCCGTTTCTTGCACTGCTGCCCATCGCCCTTCTCTCTCTCGTGTTCTTCTTCTCCACTCGCAAAAAATCCTCTCGGTCCCACGGCGATGGCCGGAGGAGCTTGCCACCGTCGCCGCCGAGCTTCCCTCTCCTCGGCCACCTGCCGCTTCTTGGGTCGCTACCCCACCGGAAGCTCCGGAGATGGCCAGAACGCACGGCCCGGTCATGCTCCTGCGCTTTGGCCGCGTGCCCATCGTGGTGGCCTCCTCGGCGGCCGCGGCGCAGGAGGCCATGAAGGCCCGAGACGTGGCCTTCGCGAGCCGATACCGCGGACCGATGGCCGAGCGCCTTCTCTACGACGGCCGTGACATGGCCTTCGCTCCCTACGGCGAGCACTGGCGCCAGGCGCGCCGCGTCTGCGTGCTCCACCTTCTTAGCCAGCGTTGCGTGCTCTCCTTCCGACGCGTTCGGGAGCAGGAGACCGCCGCCCTGCTCGACCGCGTCCGCGGCGCCGGCGACGCCGTGAACCTGAGCCATCTCCTCGTCGCCTACTCCAGCGCCGTCCTCCTGCGGGCCGCGTTCGGCAACGACTCCAGCTATGGGCTCGACGGAGAAGGGAAGATTCTTAGGAAGCTGTTGGTCGACTTCGGGGAGCTGCTGGGCTGGGGCACGCTCGGCGAGGTCGTGCCGTGGCTGGCGTGGGTGGACTCGATGAGAGGGGTGCATGCCAAGGCAACACGGACGTTTGATGCGCTGGATGGCTTCCTCGAGCGGCGCATCGCAGACCACCGTAAGCGCCGCCGTGGAGGCCAGCGGGAGGGGGACGGCGGCGCCGACGACGACGACAGTCGCCGCAGTTTCGTGAGCGTGCTGTTGGATGTGGAGGAGGAGGAAGAGACGGGAGAAGTCCTGTTTGACACGGTAGCCATCAAGGCCATTATCCTGGTACGTATGCTACTTCCGTTTCCAACAGGAATGCGATTCGACCTCAGTTACTTTTTGTGATCACTATCTGGACCTTTTTGTTTAAATCCAACCAACTCAATCCATAAATAAACCTAGGGTAAATTCTACCTCAGTGCATTGGTACGAGTGGAAACTGAGAGAAGCTATTGTTTTCATGTTTATCTAACACTCACCCGTATGGGATAGATTTCAGACTCTCCACTCGTGTAGCTGATTGAAAAAACATCCGTTTGACAAGATACCTCCTGAACTTGACGAGACTCCCTAAAAAAATGACATGACTCTATGAGAAAGGTAGACTTGCGCGGAAGGGGGCTCAGGGACGGAGGTAAAACAAATCTAAGGGGGTGCACTTTGTGAGTACAAAGATTTATGATATGGTAATGCGAATATGATGAAAAATTGGCTTTTCTAGCAACTGATTGTGACTTCCTGCATGCATATATATGCTCCCTTAGGGGTGGATCTATATGTAATGCTCCCTCGTAAAGTCAAGTATTATTTGTGTACATAATAAGAGCCGATACAATAATAATCTTATAGTCAAGCTAATATTTTTGTTGACTTAGAGGAGAAAAAGAACAAGAGAGAGGAGAGCTTAGCTCTAATGCAAGCAACAATAAGCTGAACTATACAGTGATGGGTCTGGTCCAGATAACATGTAGGAGTGAATAGTATTTATATTGGGTAACAAGCCGTATACATGGTAAAAAGTAGTATATAAATAATATAGTAATAATAAAAATATTATAGATAAATAAAATATAATTAATGTATAGCTTGATTTTATTATTGGTTTGCTCTACGAGTCATTAATGACTATAGTGTCATATATATGTATGGTGCAGAATATGTTCGTAGGCGGCTCGGATTCGACGGCCTCCATTGTGGAATGGACAATGGCAGAGCTCATCAACCATCCAAACGAGATGCACAAGCTCCAAGATGAGATACGCACGGCCATCCATGGCGGCGCTGACAACAAAGTTACCGAGGATCACCTCGGTAAGTTGCGCCACCTCAGGGCGGTGCTTAAGGAGACGCTCCGTCTGCACATACCGGCGCCTCTTGTGCAACGGGAGTCGGTTGAGGACACCGAGCTGCTCGGCTACCATGTCCCAGCGGGCACCCGCGTCCTCTTCAATGTCGGGGCCATTGCACTGGACCCCGCCACATGGGAGCGCGCCGAGGAGTTCCTACCGGAGCGGTGGTTTGGGGACGACGACGGGGCCGCGGTGGTGGATCATTACGCACCCGCGGCAGCGGCGGCGGCGGGGCACGACTTCACGTTCTTGCCATTCGGTGGTGGGCGGAGAGGGTGCCCTGGGGCCGGGTTTGCAATGGTGAGCGTCGAGCTAGTGCTGGCGAGCCTGCTGTACCACTTCGACTGGGAGCTGCCGGCCGGTGTCCCTTCGACGGTCGACATGGACGAGCTGAGTGGATTGGCCGTGCGGTTGAAGAAGCCTCTGCGTTTAGTCGCTAAGCCATGGTCTCCTTAGTAAGATCGATCAATCAATCTTGGTGTCGATCCTACTGTTATTCAGGTAATTAAATAAAGAGCTTAATTATATATCCACACGGGCCACACCCTTCACTCATAATATCTACTAGGACGGGAGGCGCGCTCCGCTGCGCCCGCCCTAGTCCAAGCTAAAACTAAACACAATAGAAGGCTGCCAAAAAGCTTAAACTATTTTTTTAGCTAACTGCTGATTAGAGTCAAGATGGTTTCATGTGCAGTGGACAAAAAAATATTGGGAACCCATCACATTACTACTGGAAACTCGAATACTCCTGTGTGTGCAAAAACCCACGAAAAATACGAATATCCATAGAAAAATATTTTTCTGACGGTATAACACATAGAAATAGAATGATTATGTCAGTTCGCCGTCAGAAATAGTATTTCTGTTGGTCTTACACACACAGAAAAATTACGTTCGCCTAGATTAAAACTAATTTTTCTGTGCGATCCACACAGCGAAAAGAAAATAAACACACAGTAAAAAATATTTAGTATTTCTATCGGTCTAGCTGAACTCACAGAAAAATTCCTTTCGCCTAGATTAAAAATAATGTTTGTGCAGCCATCCTGACAGAAAAAGGAGTTAAATGCACAGAAAAAATAATTTATTTTAAAACAGTGGCAGTAGCATATTAAAATATATATTGTCCATACAGTAATTTGATGACACATCACAACAGAATAAATAGCATACATATAAAGATGGTGTCCAAATGTTCAGCATATTGATAGGTACATAGATGACGTCCAAATGTTCCGGCATCAATACATTCAAAAACATTATTATATACTTTTCTACAACTAAAAAACGGCAAATGCAAATACATATATCTCAGACGCCTTGAAAGCCCTCCTACAGCAGGTGCAGGAGACACATCTGTTTGTGTTTCTTGTTTATCTACTGCCTGTTGGATGGTTGGCTTAGGTTGCTGTTCTGCAGCCGCTTCTAAACCTGGGCAGTTTGAGGACTGATGTCTGGACGCCGCTGGCAAAGTGACATAAATTTTGTGCATGCTTTGCTGAATATAACAAGTTTAAGCTGTTATACATGTCCAAAGATTACAAACATAGAAGACAACAAAGGAGGAAAAATAAAGCAAAGTGTGCAACGAATAAGTAGAGTGCTGCATCGCAACCAACGGTGTAACAATGGATTGAGGGCCTACAGAGTAACTTGTACACAATATTACTGCTTAAGTTATAGGATGTAAATTATGCAAAACCTTCAGCTTCTTTAACATTCCATCAACTCTTAGAGGAAACAAAATGTGGCGTTGTGTTGCATTACAGGATTGGCTTCTTATATGATTATTAACTTCATTTGGGTACAAATATACATATGAGCAACAATATTAAGCTATAACCATATGCCAGAATTATGAGACTCACAGGTTTTAAGCATTACCTCAGCCAATTGGCACCAAACCGTTAGCAAAAAAGAAGCTCACGTAAACTGTTAGTATTGAACCCAGCAGAGGATGCTCGAGAACAAGCTACGACCAGATGTTGTTTTAGGGCGCTTACAACCACATCGATTGACCTAAGAAGTTCTTTCCTGCACAAGAATTTAACTCAGAAATTAGCCATGAATTACAAAACATGTCTTACGATGTAACAACAAACTGATTCAATAGGTCATGCTAGACTCAGATAAATCAAGTTACGTGGAAAAGAAGAAACAATTGAAGAAGAAAAGACATGCTGAGGCTGTAACATTTCCCAAATAAAAAACTGCAGAGGAACATTATCAGGTATGAACATAGATGAACTAAGCTAACAATATTCAGAAACCAATTGACAACAGAAGGGCAATCCAAGGACAAAACTCATCCTACCTACTAGCTCCACCAGACGTAGCATCTCCAGTATCCTGAACAAGGTACAAAAATTTTAGGCAACAGCTACATCAAGAAACATAAGGCAAAAAACACTACAACATCTAAAAACAATTGATTGGTACTTACTGCACACAAATCTTTCCAGCTCTCTGGCCTTGAAGTTTTGATATACCCTGAGAAGCATTAACAAAAACATAATCATAATTTTTTTTGAACAATTTTTTCTAACAACACTCAGTCACACTCACATGTCAGCAAGATCGTAACAAATTTAAATCACTAAATCTGCAGCTCATATGACCTGGTTTCTGCAGTAGCAGTTCCTGAACAAGTCAACAAGTTAAAAAAGATATCTAAATCTGTGCTCTGTCCAAGTATCTAACAGGACCAACAGCCATTTGAGTTGCAACTTCCAATCTCCAAATATGTGAAATCTAATCTAAGTACTAAACAAGTATCAAATCAAATCAAATGACGAGGAACCATTCAAAAGCCACGGCCTCCCCACCACACCATACATGCACGAGCAATAATCCATGCCTCAGACTACCATTGAAATCGAGTTCCCCAATGCCGGATTCAAGATCCCACCACCCAAATGAGTATCTTAGTGCCCCAATCCAAATCCCCGCTACCTGAATCGAGGTTCTTCACACCGGAATCGAGCTCCCACCGCCATCGTTGCTCCATAGACTTGCCGGGCAGATCCCATCGCACGGGCCTGGGAGCGGCGGCCTGCAGCGGCGCACGGGACGACCGCTCGTGCGGTAGAGGGCGGTCGGCGACGGATCTGGGGGTGGCGGCCGGCGATAGATCTTGGGCCGGCAGCCGGCAGCCGGCGGCCAAGAGGCCCGCGCACGGAAAGGGCGCCGAATCTGGGGCGACGGCCGGTGGGGAGCGTGAGGGGCGAGGATCTAGAGGCAGCCACCTTGGGGGCGGCGGGCGGCGGCGGAACTGCTGCAACGGAGGCGGCCGGCGCGTGCCTGAGTCGAGCAGAGCGTGCGTGGGTGCTGCTGCGACGGCCGGCGCGTGCGTGTGTTATTTATTTATTTATATTAATTAATGTATTTTCTTTTCTGGCAAACACGCGAACACAAAAAAAAAGGCCCGAACGCCCAAACAGAGAGCGCGAACGCCAAGTCGATTGGATTTTTCTGTGCGTGTGTAATTTAAATATGTGCGTTTTTTTAAAAACCATTAAATAATAACAATTTTCCTGTGCGTGTATGTTTTTTTTGCGTCTTTAAAGAAACCGACATAATAATAATATTTTTCTATATATATTCTCACGCACAGAAAAATCATGCAACTATTCTATGGATTTTCGTATTTTTCTGTCGGAATTTTTAAAGCCCACACCTTAATTACCAAATTTTTTGTGTGTACGGAGAAAAACACACGGAAAATTTCATCACCCCCAAGAGTATTCGGGTTTCTAGTAGTGCATGGTCATCCATATATGTAAAAGAACTGCAAAAAAATGGCAAATAGAATAAAAAGAAGAAGTATCTAAACAATACATGACGTAATGGGACATCTAAAGTTCTAAACATACATGTTAAATCGGTGCATGAAAATAATAACAATAAAGGATCATCTTGAAAAAAACATATCATGTCTCTAATATATGCTTTGTTTATCCTATGTCCACTGTTCAGCCTGTAAGGCTAGGCACCGAGTCCTATATTTCTTACTGCAAAATTCCAGAAAAAAAGGTGAGAAGCATAGGTAAACAATAGGCATATGCTTACCGAGTTAGAGATGTTAATGTTACACGGAATTGGACATGTCGGTGACATTGCACGCTGCAAAAGCAATAAAGTCATATTGATCGTATAAACCTGAAAATGGGGTATGAAAGCGAAGGTAAGAGCATCTCCGAGAGTACCCTATAATTTCTTTCTAAAAATATGTTTTTCAACTCTAAAAAAAGATTGGGAGTATTAAATTAAGCCATCTCCAAGAGTAACCAATAATTCAAATATATTCTAAAACCATATTCCAATCGTTCAATGGCAATTTCGTAAATACGATCATCTCCTTCGTGAGAAGAAGCACATAAGCGATCCTTACTTATGCTGCTCGTCAAGGCCTGCAAGACTGAGAGCCCTTGACCACGGGGCCCCATGCACTTTAGGTTCATGCAAGTATCTTAATGACGGTAAACAGTATACAGGGGCAAAGTAACATCATCTGTTTGCCTAGGATTTTATTTTAGTCCAAAAGCAAGAACGGTGTGCATGAGGGATTGAGCAAGCGCACAAGATCACCGCATGTCGGCAGCCATCCCACCGGCGCCGCGGTCATCGCCGTCTGTCGTGGAGGCGATCCCCGCTTGACACGCCTTTCTCAAGGCGTCCCTGAACTCCACGGAGGGAGCCCTCGGGTCTGTACACGATCTTGGGTATCATCTGGATCACCGCTCCCTCATCGCCGCCACTTACGCGGCGTGGCGAGCGATCCGATCCTGCGCCGCGTGGCTGCACTCTGACAGCCCGCACCACGAGGACCGCAGCTTTGCTCGGTCGATCACGCCGCCACGCAGGTGCCGCCCACAAGACGACCTTTGAACATCCAGGGGCCATGCCTTGGCCGGTGTGTCATTGCTAGGAGGCCACCTCGGCGGCGCAGGATGGGTGGAAGTAGGTCGAGTACGGCACGCCCACCTCCCACAGGCCGGACTCGAGCACGAGCGTCGTCATGCTCCTCGCCTCTGTGAGGAAGAGCAGGTGCGCAGGACTCTCCTCTTTGCCGCGCCAGGGAGAAGATCGGCGTGACCCGGAGGGATACGCGCGAGGGAGAAGATCGGCGCGGACCTTGCGCATTGAGTCATTTTTTAGCGAGTGCTAAAAGACTAGGAGCTGGCATTAGGAACTGTTTGAGGCATGTTTTTTAGTTTTTTCAAAAATCAAAGAATTGGGAGAGTGTTTTGGGAACTCTTGGAGATGCTCTAAGCAAAGGAGCTACAATAATACTAACCAAACATGAATGCCCTCACTTAATTTCTTATGACATGGAAAATCGAGGCAACTCAGAATGGGAAAGTTTTTGGACTAGAGGTTATTTCCTTCTGGTTAACCAACTTATTATTGTAATGAAGCAAAGGCATATATAAACATATCAAAAAATTAAGAAT